AGGAGAGGCTATGGGACCTGAACCTGTTCAGCCTCCACAAGAGAAGGCTGAGGGGAGATCTAGTGGCCTGTTACAAACTAGTCAGAGAGGACCATCAGGCACTGGGGAAGTCCCTGTTCCCCCGAGCACTACCAGGAGTGACCAGGAATAACGGTCACAAGCTGGCAGAGGGTAGATTTAGGCTAGATAGGCTAGGAGGCGTTACTTCATGGTCTTTGCGGCTAGGATCTGGAACCAACTTCCAAGAGAAGTGGTGCTGGCTCCTACCCTGGGGGTCTTTAAGAGGAGGCTAGATGTACACCTTGCTGGGATTATTTGACCCCAGTACTCTTTCCTGCCATGGCAGGGGGTCAGACTCGATGATCTGCTCAGGTCCCTTCCAACCCTAGAAACTATGAAACTATGAGAGACAGCCATGAGCTGCCCAGTGCAGGGCACCAGGCCATCAAGGAGAGCCAAAAGTGCCACTGAAGAGAGGCTCTCATGGGATCAGCCTCCAGGGGGTGAGCCTTGGCTACTTCAGAGAGGAAGCATGAGTTGCTGGGGAAGTGGGCCTCACAGGGTAGGCAGGCATGGGACAGGAGGGTCTGCCACCTCCACCCTCCATTATGGGCGGGGCATGTCCAAATCCTAGAATCCTAAAGGGGAAGGTCTCCAAGGAAACCCCTCGGGGAGGTACTGAGTGCACTCCCCATTTTGGGTTATTGTTGTTGTGTCAAGGTCTATATAGCTATGGGTATTCTTTAAAGGAAGTTTATATGGTTTATATGTTCTTAATGTGTTAATATGTATATTTGTATTGTTACTTGGTAGGCCTAGGAAATATTATTAACTTATTTGCGTTATACAAGTTGATTCCCCAAATGTGTTTATCCTGTTGTAACCTTAACTCTTGTTCAATGTATTAATTATTATATATGTTGTAAGTTATATGGTTTTTGTGAATTGTGGGATTTTATGTAGTGTAATATGCTAAACTTTATTGTAAATATTTCACGTTTTATCTTAAGTATTTATTATAGAAATAAATTGTATATAGTTAAGCACTTGGTCTCAGCCTGGCTCTGTAGAGGAGAGGGAACTGCTCTAGTAGCCGGCCCCTCTATCAGCACCTTGCCTGACCCCCACCACTGTCATTGGAGGACATGGCACCCTGGGTGTACCTGGGCTACAGTAGTTTAGGGGTTGACTCTAAGCAATCAATAGGAAATAATGACACTTAGCACCTTACAAAATGAGACCTTAGATGAGACTTTTTGAAGAACCAGAAAAACCAAACTCTACATCTGTATCCATTCTGCTTCAAACTTCCCTAATGAATAGGTGTGCTAAGTGATTTTTTACTTTGTTCAGACATGTCTTCCAAACACTGTGTTGCAAAATTCTGCTCATTTAAAGTGAATAATTTTAGATGTTTTTCTTTTATATACAAAACCACCCTAAAGCTTCACCATGCAGAGTACTGATTCCATTTGGCCATTGACTTCATTGAAGAGAATGGATTTCTATCTTAAGTTTTGTGTGCCTGCACCTCAGGTCTGACTATCAAAACCAACACAGTCAATTAGTCAGTTGCTTTTCTGTTGTCCATTGTATCCTAACTCTGGAATGTGGTTTTCAAAAGAACTGGGGACTTATACAGCTTAGTGTTCTCCATCTTGAACTAACTGTTCATTACAATGTTTCTTTATAATGTGTTGGGCTGGATAACAAAGGCTCTGCAATATAAAACTGATTAAGCATTTATCATGCAAGTTATGTGAACCCTTTACATTGTTGTTTAGCAGTATGGCATTGATAGCCTGATGTAATATTAAAGTTCATCTCCCAAGGCTGCTTTGCACTTATTATCCAGTATCTTGCTGCCTTTAGGCTCAAAACCTAGAAAACCTGTCATTCCAGGGCCCCACCTGGTGCTAGTCATCGTAATTTGTTTCGGCAAATTAATGATCCAAAGTAGATTTTTAAGTTACTAAGTTTCAAAATGAAATCAAAACACACAAGTGAAAATCAAGGACGCAATGGCCACATCTACACAAGATATTGACTGTGTAGTTGTTGCTATATGGTCATTTAGTACTTTCGTACACAAATACTAAATGACTGCAGTAACAAGCTACTGTGCAGTAAGCGTCTTGTGTAGACGCAGTCAATCTGAATGCAGTCTGTGAGAAAGAGTGCAGAATACAGTGATCTATTCAGTTCTAGCTCTTTATTTCATAGGTTTGTCAACTAAAATAGATTGTAGTCCCTTCAGTATTAGCATAACAGTGCAATCCAATATAAAAATGCCAAATTACCTCATGATATAGGAAAAAGTCATAAGGTTTCTATATAATGCAACCAGCAGCTTTCAGGTGCGAAGTGAGTGGATAAATGAGCCAAGCTGTGCAGCCATCATGCTCTGTGGAGTGACCTCTTCAGAACACCAATAAATCAAAATTAATACCTCTGGACAATGGCGACACATAGCAGGTGCACGGGGGTGTATATGCACCCCCTGAGAGTGCTAGTGCACCCCCTGACAGTCTGCACTCCCCGCTTAGGTGATGGGCAGGAAGGGCAGGTGGAAGCACCAGTGCCCCTCCTGTGAGTGCCGGCCAGGGAGTGAGAGCACCACAACCACTTCCAGGAGCACTGTGGCTGATTTCCGCTCAGCACAGTTGGCCATGGGGGATCCCTCCCTACTTCAGTCGGTGAGATTGGCTGCAGATGGACCCCCCCCACCCCCAGTTGCTGACTGATCACTTGGAGGGCATGTGCCCCCCCCTCAACTAAGGTGGTACCTGTCGCCCATGACATGGGATCAAATTCAGCCAAAGTCAGTTTCTTTGTTATGGGGAGTTGATCTCATTTACCCAGCTGATGAACTTGAAACTATTAATACATTACCTTTATATGAAGATTTTAATCCATACAAAGGTGGTAATTGTTCCCCTTTTACAGGGATGAAAAGTGGGGTGACAATTTTCCCAAGATCATATTCATCTGACTTTCAGTCCTCTGGCATGTCATAACACAATTTATCAGCATTGTGCTCTCAAAAAATAGTTACCCTTTCACAGGTTAGATATCTGGGATTAGTCTTAACCTATTTCTTTACATAGGTAGTATAAAAGAATTCTGGATCAAAACCTAAATCAATTGCTATTGACAAAGATTTGCTGCTTCCTTCACCTAACTCTGAGATTCCAAGCATCCCTACAAGCCTGTTTAGACAATAACATGCAAGTATATGAGAATGGTTGACAGATCAGAAATGATCTCTTTCTTTGGTTCAGGTCATTACTGAACTCTTTTTAAGAATACTGATGAACTGAGCCTGTACAACTTCCCTGACCACAAGGTCAGAATGGTTTAGTTCTCATGGTAAATACACAAATCTGAACACTCTGACCTGCCTTTTACTGAGGAGAAAGCATTGTATTAAATATATGTTCACAAGATTTCTAAACAGAGTTGAGAAACATTTTGACCTTAGTATAGATATGTTACCCGACCACAATTAACCCAAGAGTAAGCAGTGCAGGTACAGTAGTGCAGTCCATTTTTCAAATTAGTTCAGCTTTAAAAAAAAAAGTGTCAATGAGGCTTTGGCATTTGGATAAAACAGAATAAGTACAGTATCAGACTGGACCATTCATCTACCTGCCTCTCAAAGTGGACTGTACCTAATGCTTCAAAAAAAGATGGAACTAACTAATATACTGTACCAATCCAGTGATGTGCATAAAAGAGAAGAAAATGTCTCTCAGACCCTGCAGGCATCAGCTTATGCATACTGAAGCATGAGGACAACTATCTGCATTACCCAGCTCCATTGTCCAGCTCCAAACGTAAACTAGGCATATGCGAAGCGGGTATTATTTGCTTCATAATCAGATTTGGCCAATTCAGGGGACAGTGATTTGAATCACTGTTCTGATTTGATTTGTCTGAATTTCCGAATCAGCCAGGCCAGGCCTATCCCCCGCCTGCTCTCCTAGCCTGGCAATGGTTGCCCCATCCACCCTAGCTCCTGGAGTTTTAAAGAAAAGCCCCAGTGCTCACTGTGTGCTGCCAGGCGGGGGCCGATTCCCACTGCCCCCCACTGCCTCATGCTGCATGGGGGGATCTGCAAGAGCCTCCCGGTCCCTCCCCTCACTCCCCCAGGTCCCCCACTCTGGACCGTGGCCTACACGGGCCCCTCCCAGGCCAGCTCTGGCCCTTTAAGAAAAAAAAGAGAAAACCCCCAGACTCACTGTTCCTGCTTGCAGGGGGCGATCCCCGCTGCCCCCCACCATGTGGTGGGCTCTACATTACACCCCGAAGACCTAAGGCCACTGCACCAGCAGTGAGTCACAGGGCTTTTCTCATTTTTTTTTCCTTAAAGGGCCAGAGCTGGCCCAGGCAGGGCTCCTGTCACAGGGCTGGG